CAGAGGGTGTGGGTGGTTATCTGTCAAAGTATAATCAGCACCGATACCCACACCCACACCCTTGTCTAATCTGATTCTATCTTGTTTTTTATTCTAGTCGTCCGGTATTATCGATAGACTGTGTATACCTATATAAAGAGGAGGTGAAACAGACAGGTCATCATCAATACTAATACATTTTTCTTGACAGCTTCATTGCACAAAAGTCACGTCGGACAATTGTTCCTGCACAGATTAAGGTTCGTATTCAAAATTATTCATAGAATAATGAAAGGAAAAATGATTTTTTTTGATGATAGTAGTTTGATGTTTTGGTTTGATCAAGTTCATTGTATGTGATAATTATCAACGAATATATGTAAAGAAATAGTAAAGTCAACTTTATCGAAGATTTTTGTGATAGAAGTTTATCCAGATTATTGTGTAAACATTCTACATAGAAGATCGTATTACTGTTGTCGACGCCAGAATTAAATAGGGGTGGGTGTAGAACGAATATCTCGAGAACAGCAGTAGCTAGCGACCTGCGGCTTTCACCAACTGAAAGAGTAGAAGTTGGGACGTCTTTTTCTCCGATAATGTATAAGACAAAATCCTTTTAAAAGTAATCATCTTCGAAAAACATGCAAAAGAATGCATGAAAATGGCCTTTCATCTAGATGAAATCTTGATTTTGCCCTTTGATTTAGACAGAGGGACTTGAGATCTATGGTGTAAGATACAATGCGCTTTTTTACTTTTCATTACATTTTTATGGAAAATCCACGCTATTATAAGAAAAAGTGTGAAAACTGAGTAAAAAATCAGTAAAATTCCCTATTATTTCCGCATGTAAATACATGATTCCATTTGCTCAATGTTAGAATGCAATAGGAGAACCATTTGAATTGTATCTTAAACTATATATCTCAAGTCCCTCTGTCTAAATCAAAGGGCAAAAACAAAATTTCATCTAGATGAAAGGTCATTTTCATGCATTCTTTTGCATGTTTTTCGAAGATGATTACTTTTAAAAGGATTTTGTCTTATACATTATCGGAGAAAAAGACGTCCCAACTTCTACTCTTTCAGTTGGTGAAAGTCGCAGGTCGCTAGCTACTGCTGTTCTCGAGATATTCGTTCTACACCCACCCCTATTTAATTCTGGTGCCGACAATAGATTTTAGCACTATTATATTCTAATTTATCTTATTTCAATCTTTGATTTATACAATTAATCTTAAATAAAGAAGTTTAATAATATTATTGGGTCTTAGAAAAAAAGATGTTTTTTTTTCTATGTATTTAATACGAAATAGATTTTGATTGATGCTTAAAAAGTTCCAACATAGTTTTATTATCTTGAAAAAAAAAACTTTTTTGATATTAATTTTTAGAGAACTAATTTAGTTTTATCTTGCCATACAATGATAAGTAAATTAGAAACACTACCATATGAAATATTACTTGATATATTTTCCTATTTATCATGGGATAAAATACTAATATCATTATGGTCAATAAATCGACGTATTAATTATGTTATTTATTCAGTATTTTCAATGAAAAATAGTGGAATTGTTTTTAATCAATCAGATTTA